CTCTCCTCCATGCCGAGGGTACAGTGGCCCTGAGATTTCAACACACTGGGGGCATGAAGGGGTAATCCTAGATGCAGGTGCCTGAGTTCGAGTCCAACCCGTGGCCCTGTGTGCCATGTCATTCTCTCTCTGTCTCTCTCACTCTCTATCAGAATCAAGGCAAAAAAATTACTTAAAAGGAAAAAAGTGATGAACCCGTCTGGGACACACTTGTTATCCAGTGTTTTTAACTTCAAAAGTCACAGTTGGACAACAGCAAGTCCCAGCAAGTGTTGATTTTAGCAAAGCAACTACCTCAATCTAAATGGTAACTCTCAATTCTCAGTCTACTCCTTGTCATGTGTTAACTAACAGTGAAACAACATACAGATGCCCAGTAGTCAGACTTACCTTAGAAAGTAAGAATAACTAGAAAATGCATTTCCTGCTGATAATGCGTGTGAATGCTGAGAGCTGAATGAGATCGCTGAAGCAATGCTTAAGAAGCTGAAGCAATGACTGAAGATTAAAAGCAGAAATTGTAAGCTGGAGGTTGAATAGCATAAAATGGTTGAAAAAGACCTGAATTGTTGATGAAAAGTTTTACAAACAGCACGAAACTTGACAAAAATGTACAAAATGTACAAACAGAAAAACCCCCTAAGTTTTCTAAATGTTAAACTGGAGGAGCTGCAGTCCATAAACTGCAAAAGCTGAGAACTGAAACATGCTATTGAAACAGTTGAAAGCCAAATTATTTACTGGAAAAGGTGGAAGTAGGAATAAAATGCCTTAAAAAAGTGAAGAAGTAATGATGATGAAAGATGAACTGCATTGTAAACATTAGAAACTTATATTTAAGATATCAATAAGCTGAATAATTTCTTAATAGCTGAAAGTGTTGTGAACAGTTTAAAGTTTGAATGAAGTCTGTAATGCTAAAGTAGCTCAAGCAATGGCTGAAGATTAAAAGCAGAAATTATAAGCTGGAGGTTGAATGGTACCGTGCTTTAAAAAATTAGATGCCAAAATATTAGACTTGAGGAGCTGAAGTCCCTTAGCTGCAAAAGCTGAGAACTGAAACATGTTGTTGAAACACTTGAAAGCCAAATTATTTACTGCCATAGGTGGAAGTAGGAATACAATGCTTTAAAAATGTGAATAAGTAATCATTAGTAACAGAAAGATGAACAGCATCCTAAATAGTAGAAACTTTAATTTAAAATATCAATCAACTGAATAATCGCTTAATAGCTGGAAGTGTTGTGAACACTTTGAAGTTTGAATGAAGGATTTAGCTGAAAGTGTGCTCAAGTAGTTGAATTTCAAAGATATAGAAGTTATGAAGGATTGAACATCGTCTCCTTTCACTTACACTGTAAAAAATTGCAGAAAATACTTATTATATCAAAAATGATGAATATCAAAAATGATGAATAAGGATACATCTCCTGAAGAAACTGAACGTTTTGATGGTTGAACGATTTATATAGCACAAAATATGCAGGAGTAGTTAACAACCGAAGGACAGTAAAAGGAGGATCTGGAGTATACCACCAGTGGGGCAAGTTAAATTCAATATGTTGGAGTGTTGGATCAGTCTGTAGCAGGATTTTGATAAAAATGTCAGTAAAGTGGTTGATAAACACTATGGTCTATGGAACAGTTTGAGGGTACTCACATCAGTTTGAGGCTGACAGTTTAAATTCTGTTAGTCTCTATGCTAAGATAGTCACTTTACATGAAACAGGACAATTTTGTCTACTAATGAGGAAGAAATGATGTGTCAAGATCGAAACGTGGCCGTAAGGACGAGTTACACAGGTTTTTTTCAGACAAATTTTAGAGCTTCTCCCACTCTAGCGATGATGTCATGTACTCTAGCCCTAAACATTCCGTGCAATACACACCCATTATAAACTCAAAAATGAAAAGAGACCGTAGAAAGGCGGAAGAAGTAAGAATAAAATATATAGATTTGAATAACAATAGTGTGAATACTGTAAAGATATAAAATATAAAATATAAAGATTCCTCATGATTCCTCATTATTATAAATGTTTACAATACTTGTCCAAACAGATGTGTACCTATAAACAAATGCTTTTACTAATCTTGACGATTTTGAAAGTTGCTTTAAACTATTTTATAAATTCTTTTTATTATTATAAATAAGAAAATTAAATCTAATGAAATTAAATAATAATAGTAAAAAATAAAGATCTGAAGAACAATAGTGTGAATGCTGAGGCACTAATAAATATGGAGAATAATAATATATATTTATATGCCTTCAATACTATTGCATTGCTGGCACATAATAATAATAATATATGACTTCAATGCATTGCAGGCACATAATAAGTATACAGAATAATAATATATGCCTTCAATGCTATTAGATTACAGGCACATAATAAATGGTTAAGCTTTTTGAACAAGCATGGTTTGGTTAGGTTTAGGAAAAGATTGTAGATCCACCCCAACCTCCTCTTGATATGGACTTTGTTACTATACAATGGGGTCAGCTGATTTCCTCCTTTTCCCTAACACAATTACCACAACCGCTAGAGGTCCCCTTACAACGTAACAATGGGTCGCCATAAGCTCCTTGCTAAGACAATCTGTGAGCTTGTTTTTTACAGGACGATCTCTTCCAGCATCTTGGAGAAACTGCCACAGTTCTTCCTGTGGATTTATTCTGTCTCAGTGTCTCTGTCTCTTCATGTGAGACTATCAGACTGACTTTACGATGTTGAGATGAAGACTCTTTAGGGGCCAGAACATTTGTTGCAGGACTAATTGTTCTTCTATTGTCTGAGGACAGTTCTGTATGACTCTGGCTGTATGTTTGGGCTCGTCCTGCTGCAGAATCTGATAGTATTGCCTGGTGTATATGAATTTAAAAATCTATAGTGCCTTAAACATTTTGCATAGTACTGTATGTGGTACCCAACAGAGGCCCCATCTGTACCTGCAGCCCACTTTGGTCTGTCAATATTTCAGATAGTGTAGATTCTGACCTCAGGTGGAGCCTGAGGAGCTGAGCAGTCTGTTCAACTGCAGGGTTAGAAATTATTGTGATTGTGATTATTTACTATAAGTCCGGTGTGTGTGTGTGTGCGTGTGTGTGTGTGTGTGTGTGTGTGTGTGTGTGTGTGTGTAAGAGAGAAAGAATATGTGTGTTTAAAGGGCACTGAGATAAAATTAAAAAAGATAAATATTAAAACCCTATTTTTCAGTTGCACAGAGAGAGATATCAGCTTCCTCTGCTCAGTTTTCTAGAAACAAATGAGAACTAGAAGAAGAAATCCACCCTAAACTTAAATAACGAGTTTAGTCTTTTCTTGACTTTTGCTGTCTTCCCTCTCAGATTTATTCTCAACATTTTATTTAAATTTATACATTCCATTTTTCTTTTTTTCTATTCTAATGCATTGTTCTATTGTTTCTATTGCAGTGATTATGTTTTTTACTTATTTGTGCCATATTTTCTTTTTTATTGCTTTTTTCTTTTTTTTGGTTCTCTTAATGAAATCTTGGTCAGAAACATTTTGGGGCAAAAACTGAAACAAACAGTATGAAACGCCCACGTGGCAAAAGTTCGAAAGATGGAGCAAGGAGGTAGTGCTGGTCACCCACAATGCTGTTTGCCTTTCTCAGAGTTCTCTCCCTGTAAAATAGTGTAAATGAATAAAAACCAAAAATAAAGATTCAGTTGAGATTCATGTAAGTGACTTTTCAGTGAACAAGATGACAGTGCTGTTAGTGTCCTAGTTGATGTGTGTTTATTTGAAACAATCTGTGTCACTAACTGTTTTTCAGTTTCCAGTAGGTTTGCCTGTCAGTAGAGGATACAGAGCTGGAATCAGCAAAGTGGCTTTTATATTTTATTCTACAGTTCACTTTGTTTATTTCTGCTCATTCCAGCTCTCTGTTAGCATCTGTTAGCAATTTTCTTGTTATGCTGCCTTAAGGTGCTTTTTCAGCCTGAACTACCTGGTTCTGAAGTCACATCTATACCTACTGTGACGCATTCAGGTCCTGCATGTCAATAAATAAACACATAAATAATATGAATTTCCTGATGAACAGTGTTGTCACAACCTGAAATTACAATGTTTCTGTTAATTTTTCAGTTTAGGTTACTAAAACATGCTCAAATGTGTCTCTGAAAGCACCTGAAGGCAGCATCTCTTATCGTCTAGAGCCACTGATCCACACGGATGGCTCTCCTATATGGTCGTTCAGGTTGATCTCACACGACCACTAAATGTTGCTTAACAATAAAATGTAACTATGGGTCTTCGTAAACTGCTGCACAGAAAACCCATGGGGTTGAAAACATGCTATTGTCTGTCCTGTTAACATGATGTGAGATAGTCAAAAAAAAAAAAAAAAAAATTCACGAACTGAATAACCAAATCCTGAGGTAAATGTAATCATATTATGGGTACAAGCAATTAAAGGTGATGTCTTAGTGGACTACAGAAGAAGAAGAAACCATTTCTGGTTTTGAGAAATTGAAAATGACTAAAATCTCAAAAAATGTTCAGACCCTGAAGTGTTAGGTTACAGCTGGTTCTGGTACTCTATGTTTTGTCCTTTGAGACCCTGCACTCGTGGATCTGTAGCTCCACTTCCTGTTTAGAGCAACATCTTTTGTTTCTCACTGTCTTCTTACTCTCTGTCTTTTTCTCTTCTTTTCTCTCTTGTTTTTCACTTCCTCATCCATACCCTTCTCTCGTACTTACCGCTTCTCAAACAAACATGGCTGCTGCATGTCATTTTATGTTTTCTTTTACATATACATGCACAAACCTTTATTAATCTGAATATATGTTTGTATTGCTCATGTGTCCATATATAAACCTTCATTATCACACATTCATGAAACTATATGATTTCATTAATTATTCCTCAACACCCTGGTTACCATTAACACCCCGCCTCAGACCCCATAGACCCATCTGAGGATGACCTCTTCCACCTCTTTGATAAATACCCCACTCCCATGCCAGACACCAGCACTCCCATGATACCCCCTGTGGGGGTCCAGGCTGTGGCTCTGTCCTCGGATTCAGTCCGTGTCTCCTGGGCCGACAACTCCATGACCAAGAACCAGAAGGCGTCTGAGGTCCGGTACTACTCTGTGAAGTGGAAGACTAGCTACTCTACCAGTGGGAAGTACAAGGTAAACACAGACCATCAGTTTGTGACATTCACGTGTTGTGTTCTACATTACTTCAAAGTTTGTGTCATGGTCTCTAACTGATGTGTTGACATTACTTTGACATGGCTCAGGCTCGAGTCATGAATGTTTTGACTTTAGACTTGGCTTGACCAATTTAAAGAAGTAACATCAATGACCTGTGACTTCACTTGATATCCTTCCCAAAACCCAAAGTTTAAACATTATATAAAAGTGTGCAGCAAATTAACACTCTATGTAATGAGGATATTTCTTTTTAGCTAAAAATCTATGAGCAACTGAAGAAATGAAGCATTGATGACGAACACATAACAAAGAGATCAGAATAAAGCAGACGAGTAAAATTGATCTTTTGAATGACAGAATGAACTGATCACATAGTTTGGCAATAGTGACATGAGATATGTGACAAAAAAGTAACCAGAGAATGCAGGGACATCAGGGAGATGATCTACTTCTTCAACTATCCAACATCAACTCTTATCACAGATATCAGGAGCAAAGTGTGCCTAAGTTTGCAGCGTCATCTCAGAGCAGAACCTATTTTAAGATGGAGCCAAAGTGGTTGTTTCAGTGCTGGCTTCACTCATGACTGTCCCACCAAGGTGATGCTCCCAGGAACGCAGTGGTTGCCTAACAACAAGGGTCAGATAGCAAGGCTTCTCAACTGATCTGGCAACCTTGCCAGGGTTGATAGAGGCTAGATAGGCTTTTAAGACCAATACTGATTCTGACAAGCAGGAAGAAGTTGGTCCGTTGTTGTATTTGGATAAAACTCTAAAACTCACTTTTTTTAACTAGACATGAATAATCTTAAAATGAATTGTGTAAGCTGGATGACAAAACTTCCAAAATACTATCAAAGTGAGACTTACTGAAGTACAAAAATATGGAAACAAACTTCAGGTCATTCAGTTTGGATTCGAGGCTTGTTTCAGGTAAAGGTTATAATGTGCACGGCTTAATGAAAAGGAAAAGGTAAATGAAGGAATAAGCAATCTAGAAATATTCAAATAAGACTCAGGGAGTAGTGAGAAGAGAAAGAGGTAGTCAATAAGTCAAAAAGTAAAAACCACTATAAAAGCTACCATAATATTAATTATAATAAATACACAGTTAGTGAATAGAGAAATGTACAAACGCAAACCATCATGTGTTTAATTCTGATGATTCTCTTTTGTGAAATACAATACAGTTTGTGGAGTCTACAGTCTGTTCAAACCCACTGTTTCCTCTGAGTAGGAGGAGTCCTCACTACAATCAAATTGTAGTTTGTCTGAAATGAAATGTTGCAGTTTTTGTCTACATGTTTATTATGTCCCCAGCTTCATCCCTAGTTCACCTTATTATTCCTTCTGCACAAGACATGTTGCCACAGCAACTCCACCACCTGCAGCTGTTTGATAATCAGCTGATGGGGATTTAATGTCACACCTGCCATCCTGTGTGCTGCCTGCTCTCATTTAAAGCAGATCTCCCCTCCCTTCTGCTGTATATCAAGCAGCTCACCAGCAAAATAAAAGAGGCACAGACACTGTAAACAATAATCATGGAGGATTATTTAGTTACAACAATCTGAGCACAATGCACTGGAGGAAAACCAAATTCAATATGTGTTTTTCAGAAGCTTTCACTGATCAAGAATAAAAATATCCTCAGTTGACAGAAACAGCTTCGATTGTTTGGAAAAATCTTGTAGTAAAACATAATTTGGACTGATTTTAATTTTTCTCAAAACAAGATTAAATCTTTCACTCATCTCGTCATGTTCTTCTTTGCTTCCAACAAAACTCTGAACTTCAGAAAAAACTTTGACAATAATCCGTACTCTGCTTCAAGAACACTGGAAATAGGAAATCTATACAAGGGCAGACAGTCTGCTCACCTTAATAAAGCGGAGAGAGAGGTGGTCTCCCTCCTTTTCTTTCCATCACATTTTGAAAATACATTTTCTTGGTGCCATAAGGACAAACTGTGGCAGGCTGACTGTATCTACACCACAGAAGAAAATGGATACATACATATACAGTATATGTGTGTGTATATATTTATATATATGTATATGATGTCTGAGACCACTTCCCATTCACTTGCATGGAAAACCCCACTGTATAGTATGTGTGTTTTGGACTTGTTTTATTTTAGAAATCTCTAAATCCTATAAATCTATTGCTTGTCAAGTCTGCAGACACCACGGCACTCAGCCACACCGTCACCGGCCTCAAACCAAACACCATGTACGAATTTGCTGTCATGGTAACCAAAGGACGCAAGTCCAGCACATGGAGTATGACGGCACACGCCACAACGTATGAAGCAGGTATGTCTCTCTTAGACACACAAACACATAACTAGTGTGGACCCCATTGACATAACACATCCCCTGGCCCTGGCTGTAACTCCAACCTAAACTAATCCTTAACCCAAAGCCAAGTCTTAACCCTCATAAATCATTGCCGAAATGAGGGTTTATTGTACCTTCCAAACTCCCACATTCCCCCCAAACATATAATGGCAGCAAACTTGTTTATAATGGTCATGCTGCACACTGCGGTGGCTGAAAGATCATATGAGAATCTTTCTGGGTAGAATCACAGTCCACAATCGGAATCATGATCTGTATCCAATCTGATTTGATGATGAAAGTCATGACCATAAGTTATGGTCTCTTTCTGATGTCTTGATGCTTCTGTCATATGTTTGTCTGCGTTCCACTTTTTCTGTCTTCTGTTTATGATTTGTGTCACAACCAATCACATGTTTGTTTAGTCCATATGGAGTATTCATTTGGAGTGTTTGGAGTGATTTTTCTTTGTCCCGCCTCGTCCCGCCTCAGGTTATTCTGCCTGCAGGCAGGTCTTTGGTCCCGTGGACAGACCTTAACTCCACTATCCTGGACTGCAGCTTGTGACGGTGGTTCCTGTTCTGCTCAGGTGGAGAACTGGTTCATGTGTTGCTAGCTATAGTTAGCAGGCTATGCTAGCCATTAACAGTTAACAATGGGCTGATTAGCAGTGATTGAAAGTTTGAAATTAAATATCTAAATACAGAAACTTGAATTAATCTGTGTGACTCATTTGAAGAGTAGATCATATACCAAAGAAAGATCATCCATGATATAAGATCGTCAGATCGCCCACACCAACTGTGGATGATTACGATTGCGCTTGGTGAATGTGCCATTGATAGATGACGTATAAATGGAACAGCTGCTTTGGAACTAATGTTATGCACCATTAAGTGGACTGAGTTAAGTGTTTACTTGTCAAACTACTGTTCCCAGGATCAAGAATGAGCCTTTCCACTCAAGATTGTGTTTAGTTTTAGAGTTGTAGAATAAGTGGATGATTCTTACAGTTTTTTTCTCCTATGGTACACTTTTCCTCTATTACTTCCTTGATCCTTTTCCTCTATTCCTTCCTTTTCACTGACATCTAAAACATCCGGCTGAAAGAAGTTCATGCTTTTCCTCTGGAGGATTTGAAAGTAATTGAGAAAAACAGGAATACACTGAATCACAGCAGGTTCAGGAAACATGGATTCACCAAGACAATATGGGTGCTGAACTTTTTTATTTTCTGTCTAACCCTGAACAGAGATTACTTTTAATAAGGTGTTTAGCAATGCACAGAACTCATGTTTGGTTCAGTGAGGTGTCAGGGAGAAACCCGACTCTACCCCGCAACAGCACGACAACAGTCTGCAACAATGAAACCAGCCACCGACTGAAATCAAAATGTCAAGGTATCCCTTTCAGGATGTCTACAATCATGTTTGTCGGATTTGTCATCCAATTAAGTGTGAAAAGCATTACCCCCAACAGCTCCCCAGGGCCTGCTGGAATACATTGACATTCATAGTGAGCAGACGGACCGAGCCCACTCAGTCCCAGCAGTGATCTACCAGTTCTGGACACAAACACTGACCACATTCTCACAGAAAAACACTGAGAACAGTCTTCACAGCCGTTTAGAACACCTCTGCCTCACTATTAGAAATGATCACCCACTGAGTCTAACAGACACCAGCTGCATAACATTATATTATATGTGTGTATTTAATTCTTACTAGAGACAGAGATTAAACCATCAAAATGTCTGCTTATTGTACAGCTGAAAATATAATTTTAGGATGGGCAGATTGTCACACAATATTCATTCATCCCAGAGGATGAACCTTGTACACCATCCTGCACCAGCCTTGAGGTGGAGACCCCACATGGAGATGTCTGATATACAAATGGGGTTGCAAGAAATTAAAAAAAAAATAAACATGATTTTTTTTTAGATAAGTAAAGAGTAAGTTCATTCAAATTATAGTCAAAAAACTTAATAAATATTGACATGACCTGCTGTTCAGTGCAGCTGTATACACACGAGTGAGTTAGCAAGTTAGCAAAAGTTTGACTGGGTTATTGACACGTTCCACTTTGATACTACCTTCATGGATCAGCCAGCCAGGACCATCAAACAGCTAATTAAGCTGTTGTTTTTGATGAGCTGAGATGTCAGCAGAGTTTGATTGAATGCATTTGATGGCTGTGTCACTGTCACCAATGGCTCTTATTTGAAGAGTGAAAGTATAGCCTAAATTTAATTCTCATCATAGCTCTGCCCACCTCTAATATGTTCACTCAGCAGTATTGATCATAGACAGTGTATGTTCCTGAGGCCTCCTTCTGTATTTATGAGTACAGGTTGTCAGCATCAGAAAGAGTTGACCAACTCCTATAGCAATTATTTGTAATCAAGGAGATCAATAGCTGATACTTATCCATTGCTGGGCTACGAGCTTTGAGACTTGTCCTAGTTTGGAATTTACTGGAAATTTAATCACATTTCTAACCAGGAAACACGCAGCCATTACACACTAAAGCTCTGATAGGTGGCCACTTGGTTTCCATGATGACATTTGAGGAGAAAAAAGAGCGCTTGTGATTCTCACAACAGGAGTGACACAACACGACAGTTCAGGAAAGTGACAGAAATTCTGAAGTTCTAACAGAACAGATCACTGAACACAAGAAAGTCATCCCAAATCCACAGAAAATTTTAACCACACTGACATTACAATGAGCTCAGGAAGTTCAGGTGAAGACCTGTACCCAAGGACCAGTTTTGTTTTTACCACTGGCAGAGATATGAAGTCTGCTGTCTGCTGGGTTAATTACTGAGTACTCAAATGAACTTCTGAACACTGATTTGGAAAAACTGGTCACGCCATCATCTCCTTCTACCATCTCTCATTGCTTTTTTCCCTCTTCTTCCTGTTTACGCATAATTCAGCTCCAAGCTCCGCCCCAAAAGACTTGACAGTGATCAGTCGTGAGGGACGACCCCGCGCCATTTTAATCAGCTGGCAACCGCCGATGGAGGCTAATGGACGAATCACAGGTGAGTTATCGTATAAACACCAAGTCGACAGTCATTTTGATTTTCAACAAAGCTGCTGATTATTCTCCAGTTAAAAGATTAATTATGTCAGATTAATTATGTCAAAATGTTTTTATTACAATATTAACACACAGCACAAGAGTTTGGTTGTTGCTTTGTGTATCCAGAGCATCCTGTGTATCCAACACACACACTTTCCTCCATTGTTCTCTCTCTTTTCCTCTGGGCGATCAGCCCCCCCATAAACCTGTTTGTTTTAACGAGCTCTGCTGCTCCTGCAACATCCCGGAGGACGAATCAAACGCTCCCTGCAGGGATAACAGCACAAAGCACTGCAACACACACACAGATCAAATATTTTTAGAATTTATACTTTCATTTTTTTGTGTGTGTATAATTCCACAAAAAATGTTATGTCTTCACTCTATAATGAAACTTTCTGCATATCAAATCTTAGTATTTATATCTTCTCTGGTCTTATATTACAACAATTGTATTTTTTCACAACGCCAAGTCTTATATCACACCATAAATGGGAATATGGGATTTTGCCCTGGTGTGAATGAGCTTAATTTTATCCCTACAAATAGAATAAGAGCATGTTTTTATGTATTCGTTTCTCCAGACATCATCCTCTGCTGCGCTCTGCATAATAAGAATATGATCTTGTTTTTAAACCTGTTCATCTTATGCCTTGTTGTCTGACAGGTTACATCCTGTACTACACGCTGGATAAGAACATGCCGATAGATGACTGGGTGATGGAGGCGATCAGCGGCGACCGGCTGACCCATCAGGTCGTCGATCTGAACCTCGACACAGTTTATTACTTCAGGATTCAGGCCAAGAACGCCAAAGGAGTCGGCCCGTTGTCTGAGCCTGTCCACTTCAGGACCGCCAAAGGTCTGCCATAGAGTGTGTGTTTGCATGTGTGTGTGACTGAAGATCAAGACCTGCTTTATCTGTTAATGCATTCCTGTGTTTTATATTTTATAAGTTTCCTGAGTCTCTGTTTCTCTTTCAGTGGAACATCCAGACAAGATGGCCAATGATCAAGGTAGACGTTTCTTCCCTACGTGTATGTGTGTGTGTGTGTGTGTGTGTGTGTGTGTGTGTGTGTGTGTGTGTGGGGTGTGTGTGTGTGTGTGTGTGTGTGTGTGTGTGTGTGTGTGTGTGTGTGTGTGTGTGTGTGTGTTTGTGAATTTTGAACCGTGCATCACTTCAAAAGATCTACAGTTTTACAGAAATCTTCCATCATGTCTCACTCCTAATCATTTATTTGACTCATTTTCCAGTTATCATGAAACCATTTTTAATCTTTAAATCATCATTGTGTCTGTTTTCTCATCAGATTGTCTATAACACAGTTCACAGCTTCAAATCTTAAAATCCTCTAATTAACTTTGATTTACAAACCATCTTCTCATTTCACATCTTGTTATCAGATCATCTGTAATTGAAGTCAAATTATCTTCAAATAAACTCCAATAATCTGTCGTTTTACAATTAAAAGTGATTTCTTTTAAACATGTTATCAGCTTCACTTTCATCTGATTATCAAATCATGTTTCATCTTCCTGTTATTTCTTTCCATTCTACTTTTCCTCACATCTTCAAATCATCAGTGTGTTGTGCTCCTGAGGAAAACGTGGCATGTGAGAGTACACATAAGCAGATGAATCTTGAATTGCTTCACACATTCATTAACAAATTACTGCAAGACATGACACTGATTCACAGGCCAAATGTTCAGTGTGCCACTACAGTGCTGAATCCTATTCTGATTGAACCTTGCTAACTCCGTAAAATCGATGGTGATGCCAGATTTTTTAAACCATGAACATGTAAATACTGTTAGAAGTCTATTAAAGTGATAGTTCAGGTAATTTGATGAAGGGATGTGTGAGGTACTTAGCTATAGTCAGTGTATTTCCTGCAGTAGATTCAGATTAGTTTAGAGAAGCAGCAGGAGCACCGGCACAGAAACTGAGTGATAAGTGATTACCCACTTAAAAAATGTCCACAGAAAAAAAGCTAATATCAGTTGTGTCGCTTTATTTTTAATGTTTTCACCACTTTATGGTAGTTCAACGGTTGACAGAATGTAGTCCCAAAGTAAATGTCTGTTTGACGGCAGATAAAGTGGTGAATATATTCAAAATAAAGCCACACTTCAAATGATATTTCTGTGGACATGTTTGTAAGTGTCTCTGCTGACACTGTCCACAGTAGCTCATCACTCAGCTTCTTTGCCAGTGCTCCTGCTGCTCCACTAAACTGAATCTACTGCAAGTAATATACTGACTATAGATCAGTACCTCATAAGTCAAATAACCTGAACTATCACTTTAAGTTAATTATAAATTGACTTGATATTCTACAGTTATATTTATATTGTATTAAGATTTATAAGGTGTCCCTTTGTGCACATGTCACCCAAATCTGTAGCTGCATGATGTATTTAAAGTCCTAGCTTTTTTCAGGCTCAATCAAATATGGTATATCAACCAAGGCTAATTATATCTATGTATGGTTATATGGAATCATTGTGGTGTAGCCCAATTAATTTGAGAAAAAAAAAAGGATTTGTGTGTGAAACCTTTTGGAAACATTTATCTAAAATGATGAATAAACAGTTGAAATGGTTACCTGAAAGTAACACATATAGCTCAAAACAGATGGCTAAAAGTCTTGAATAAAGGGTTGAAGTAGTGAGCTAGAACTAAATGAGAACTAATTGAGAACTAAATGGACAAATTTGAAAGATAGCAGGTGTTGTCGGTGCAGCGATTCAATCAGGGTCTATCAGACGGAAATGTTTGAGAACCACTGAAATTTACTGAAATGTACGAAGTTTGGTGTAGACTGGATGAAATATGTTGGAAAACATGCAAATAAATGAATAAATGCATAGAGTACAATCCAAGGATTCCAGTGAAAAAAATCTCTCCTTTATGAATTTCAGTTCTAAAGTTGTGTGCAAATATGTAAATTAGGATAAAATTTGTGACATGGTTGATTGTAATTTCACACTTGTCTGTGAGATTCTCAGTTAATTAGTATTTCATGAATTTTATGCAAACTGTCAATTGAAATTTTCTCCAACAAAGATTTGACTTTAAGTGCTGTTGCAGGTATTATGATGTAAAGATGGAGCTATAGGCTTGAGCCAATATTTGATAATATCATGATAATATCACAATATTTAAGCTGGACTGTATTGATATATTAAACTTTGGATATCGCCCAAGTCTAGAATGAGCCTGAGTATTTTAGGGTCAAAAGAAATACAGAAGTGGAATAACTGTGTCAGCAATTACACTTATTTTAATGAATTGAAAGTCAACCTTGTTGAGTATTTGTCCCATAATAATCTGATTTTTCAACTACTGTTCTGTAGAAAATTATTTAGAATAAAGATAAAGAAATTTGAAGGGAAGTACAATTAGTGAAAAAGAGTAGAAAGCATGAAGGAGGGTAGAAAGGATAAAACAGGACAGACAGTTGAAAAATGTAGGAGAGAATGAAAGGATGAAGGGGGGATGAGTCTAGTAGGATGATGGCCAAAATTTCAGCATTGTTAGTCTATTATACACTAATGAGAAATTGTTAATGTGAAAAGGAGACAGAGAAGAAAAATGTGAAAACAGAGGAAGTTATTCCATTTTCTTTTTAATTGAATTTATTTTTCACTTTATGCAAACAGCCCTGACTCATCAAGCTGAAGGAAAGTCATTTGTTCATTGCGTGGAGAAAATCTTTTTTTTTCAATGAGAGAGAAATGAAAGGAGGGAGCAGGCAAGATGAGTCTGTTGTAATCATTAATGCAGATATATGAGAGGTGATGGAAAAGAGCTGTTTACCATATTTAAGTTCATCAAATGAACTCAGACATAATTAACACTCTGTTCTCTGATTCTATTCAAACAGCAGCAGAAGGGGCCATGACGCTATGAACGCTCCAAACTTTTCAGTGTGCTACAAGAAAGTTTGAAATCTTGCAGCAGCTCAGAGAACATGATGGTGATTTTGTAGCTTTAATGTTTAATTTGGTCTTTTTAAGATTTGGATTGAGGGTCTAATAAGAGTTAGCATCATTCTGAAATAAAACAAAAAAAGATTGAAGAGTTCCAAAAATCCATCCTAAAGTTGTTGAGATATTCAAGTCTAGACGAAAGTGGTGATATACAGGGACTGAATGGCTTGCATCAACAGACTGAGAATCTTCTGTTCCCCAACAAGATCCTCTGTGGGACAAATTCTGAATCTTTACCCAAGTTATGGTAAACTTATATAGCACTTTTCTAGCTTTACTAACCACTCAAGGCACTTTACAATACTTGCCACATTCACCCATTCATACATACACTGTTGGAACAGCCATGTGGGGTTCAGTATCTTGCGGCCTGCAGGAGCCAGGGATCGAACCACCGACCTTCTTGTTAGTGGACGACCCACTCTACCTCCTGAGCCACAGCCGCCACCCAAGTTCACAAAGCACATGTCCTGCACCCTGTTCTCTGTTTGTGAAGTAAGCTTGATTTAATTGTTGATAATTTTACACAGGCCTTGATTCTTCAGTTTTCAGCTTAAGTCCAGACAGACAGATTCCAGTATATTGTTCAGTATAATATACTGAGGTAATATGGGGATCACTGTGGCCTACATGTGTTCTATGCAGCTGCACTTAACTGAACCAGAGAGACTCAGCTTCAGTGTCAGGGTGTTAAATGTTACTGTTTATCACTGACAGGTGTGTGTGTGCATGTGTGTATGTGTGCGTGTGGTATGTACACATGTACACACTGCATTCCCTATCCATAAAAATCAGGAGTGTTGGCGGGAAGGGTAGGTTAATATTCAGTCCTGTTACAGTGGAAGCTTCACTGTAAACACACACTCACTAACTCACACATAGATACACACACTGTTAACTGCACACACAAAGCCAGACTAGCTTTAATCACACTGGTTTCTGTAACTTCAAACTGCAAGAAAGAATCAAATCTTTTTTTCATGTTTTAGGGGAGCAGGACTCATTGCAACTGCTGCTGGATGGTGGGAGAAGAAAAAAAAACAGCTTTTAGCTTTAAATTGCGGGAGAATTATGTATTATATCTGGCTTTAAGTGAATTTGAGATGTGAAGGTCTTTAGATTCAGTTTCCTGACGGGAGCAGTGCTGTTGAGGTTTTGAAATCTCTCACATCAGTTTCCAGGCTCTGTTCTCTGACAGCCTCTGTGATGACCTGCTTCTAACATCTGCCTCAAATCCATTCTTCCAATGCTCCAAGTTCACGAAAAGGCTCACCTGCTGTTTTGTCCACTGGAGGAAAAACCCATAAAAACAACCTGCCAAAAACAGTTTTTATATTGTTTGAAAATTAATCAGTTAGATACATTTTGCATAGGACTATACAGATGTTACAAACAGCAAATGTAGTGGTCACACAGATGAGACAGCAACTGTACAATGGTCACAAAATATACTCTAATACTAAGAATAAAAGCAAGTAACGACGGGGACACACTGCCTGCGTTGCATGTGCGTCTCTGCCGCGTCACTGCTACTGCCAGCTCTAAATAACATGACAATGCCACTGTCTCCGCATACAGCTGCTAAAATTGTAGTTTTATGTGATGGATGCCAGCAACATTACATAAAACTGACTCCTTCCACTATAGTTGTCTTTCTAGGCTAAATCTGACAATGATACAGACATGAAAAATAAAATGATGTTTCGTAGCTGTGATGTTGCACATGAAACATGTACAGTGTGTTACTGGCCTAAGATGATGTATATGTACTGATTTGACCATAGACACTGTGGTAACAATTGTTTCTTTAAGTCAGCTAACAATAACTCGCACATAGTGGAAACCAGGCTAATGATGGTGGAGGGTCACATGAGCATAATATAAAATACAAAATTAAAGGTTAGGGGGTTTCTTTAGAGGACAGGGTCACAAAATATCTACTTTAATTATTACTGCACTTAAACAGGACAAATTCTTTATTTCACTTACAATTATACAAATTATTTTAAAAAAACAATTGCAACACGGTAAGTCTGGGAAATTCAGGGTCCTTGATGGTCTGAGGCCCTTTCACTAGTTTCACTTTGCCCTGTTGGTTATGTCGTTTTGCTCAGAACAGTTACCTTTAGCTTTGTGATGGTGTAGATGCTCGCAAGTCATTACTGCAGGAATAAAACATGAAGATTTGGACAAAGTGCACTTCCAGCAGGGAACTACACACACACAAACATCACACATATGACGTGCGTGTAGACACACCATTTCAAGTCATTTATTTCATAATAAGGAACCAATATCTGTGTGATCCTTTTATTCCATCAATTAAATGAGTCTGAGCTTCGCTCTCTTCCTCTCTGTTGTCTTCCAGGTCGTGGAGGAGACCATGCCTACTGGCCATCTGACACCAACCTCATTGACAAGAGCAGCATCAACGGTAACACACACACTCACACACACACACACTGTCATTCTCTGTGACTGAATCTGACCGTCAGAAAGTATTACGAGATGTGTGTGTGTGTGTGTGTGTGTGTGTGTGTGAGTGTGTGTGTGTGTGTGCGATTCTGCAGCACCATCAGAGCCTCACAGTTGTCAGTTGTTTTCTCTGATCACTCAGCTCTGTCATGTCTAAACTTACTTACTTGCTACATTGTACAGTCCGTTAGCATTGCTTCCTGTTCACCACCAGCAGGAAAAATTACTTATATCCAGTATCTTACACTCAGCTGGTGTTATTACAAACTGGAGAAAATAGTCATCTTTATAGAGAAACAGGATTAAAAGTGTGGTGGCATATAAATCTTCAGCTTGTAGTTTTTAATGTAACAAACCACAACAGAATTGTTAATAATAATTTGATGTAGGACAGTAATGGGAAAATATGAGCAGTAATACAAATACTAAATACAGCTGTACGGTATCAAATTTTCATAGTTTATATCTGAGGATTATAGTGTAGTAAGTGAGTATTCTTATTAACGCACTAAACTATACAAATTTACAATATATGAAAAAATCTCTAAAATAGCAATAATTTGCTCTTTATGTGAGTATCCAATAACAAAAAAATAATGTTGTGATGTATACATCCTTAACAGCTATTAGTAATCACTAAAGAAAGGCTCTTTCTTATGTTATTACTAATTTGAGCTATAATTCAAATGTTACCTTGATATTGCCAATGATAATACTCATTCTGCTAATACCAAAACGACCATCACTGACAATGCTAATAATCATAATAAGTCCAACACTAATGCTCATTTTAAAACTAAAGGTAATACTCATGCTAATGCAATTTCTTATGCTGCCAGTGACACTAATTTTAACGACAATGATAATACTCATGCCAATGCTGTAAAAGCTGTGATAACTGATAGCTACAAATAACCACAAAGTAATTGTGATGCAAAAGCTAATCGTCAATCATTACGCTAATACTTATTGAGACAATGTTAATATTAATGCCAGTGCTAACAAAAATACAAATGTTAAATTCTAAAGTTAAATGCTAATCTTAAGATTCATAACAATTCTTACAGTAATGTTAATGGAAATACGCTACTGTTAATAAAACCCAAATTACTGCTAAATCTAAAACTAATGCTAATAACAATAACAAATCACAGTCTTAACTATAACTGTCTCCTCTCATTTCTGCTGAAGAAAAACAGTTCAGTTCCCCCTACTCAACAGAAAAGGTCACAGGTCAGGGTCTGTCGCTGGCAGTGATTCAGTGTCTCACTGGAGGACAGTGAGGTGTGTGTGGCACTGTTGCTGCTGCTGCCAGAGGCGATCGTAAATCTGCCCCCTCTGACTTCCGCTCTTCTCTTGCTTTATGATGGGTCATGGAGGGCAAAGTCTCGTTCATCAGGTCAACAGTATTTCATCTTTAACGCGGTGCTGGCCTTTATGTTGCAGAGCTCACAAACGACCATTCACCACCGACTTTTACCATCAGGTCACAGCTCTGTAGGTCTCTGTGTTCATAGTCTGTGCTGAAGTGATCTGATCCGGCCTGTTGTTCCGATCCAGTGACAGTATCTGCGCAGGTGGTGGTCTGGCTACAGACCACTCAGGTTTTTCCATTTTCTCCTCATTTTCTCCAGAGGAGGTGATGTTGGCTTCTGACAGGGCTGAGAGCTTCATACTGCTCAGAGCACAAAGCAATTAAAGTTAAAAATAGCTCAGCTCTAAGCAACAGAAACTTGTGGCGCAAAATAGTTTTAAATAGAAGACATTAACATATTTAACCCCCATATTCCCCTGAAGCTTCACTTGAGAAGCTTAACAGACATTTCCTCTCTGTATGACACCTAACATTACAAGAAAAGCTTCACGTGTCATGTTGCCATGTCGTCGTGTATTACTTATGTTTACTTCTTTACATAGACATTTTAGTGACCACAGGGAGTGACACAAACCAGACACAAACCAGGCACTGACCAGGCACAACAGACACAAACCAGTCAAGAACCAGGCCAAAACCAGACACAACAGACACAAACCAGACACAAACCAGGCACAAACCAGACGCAACAGAGCGCAGCAGGGCACAATGTGGAAGAGTGTGTGATGTTCCTTCCTCTGGTTTATCTACAAAGAAAGTGTTTGTTTATATTGACCACTTCTTTTATTTGTCCCTTCAGTGCTATGGGGCTTCATGTACCATTCTACAAGATAAATATATGAAATAACATTTGTGAGAAACACCGGGCATTTAAACATTGTTTGTGTTGAGTTTGTTTATAACTGACCAGCTTTGTTTCCCTGCTGGATTTCTGGGTTTTGTGAAGATTTTTACACATCCTGTCACCCTCATGTTGATTTGTCGATGTTGTTGTGGCTTTAAGCTGTTGAGAGCTTCTGATTTATTCCACACATTCTCTCTGAGCCGCTGGGGGTTCAGTGCCTCACTCAAGGGCATCTCAGTAGAGGTTGTTAACGCTCCTGTTATCATCAGTAACATACATTTTGCTTGCGGGTCAGTTTTGACTTCCTGTCTGTCAGTTACTGCTCCTGTCATTTATTGTAGTCATCTCTTTTTTGTATTTCACAGTCCAAAAGGTTTAGATTTATTGTACAAAACCATCCTTACTTTGATAACAAATTGTCCTTTCATGTCTCCACTTTCCATATACTTGGTACAGAATTACAAGTTTTTAAGTGTAGAATGAAAACCCATTCAGGACATGGACATGGTTGTGCATGGACAGCGTTCATTGAACATTTTCATATTTTTTGTGAGCGCTGAACTGAACAAATCAATTTACAAATGATGAACGTTCATGTTTTACATCAGTTTTACGGCCCAGCATGGCTGGTGTAAGCGGTACAAACGGTTTTAAATGTTTCTAATTCAAAAAGAATAGCAGCCTATTTATTTTAAAAAAATGGAACAAATGAATGTGAATTTGTTCTTTTTTGAAACTGTGAACTTAGTTATTTTTAAAAATTATCTTTGAACGTGAACTAGTTAATTTTCATCTATATGAAGTGAACTTTGAACTAGTTCTTTTTAAGTGTGAACTGGCACAACACTGAACCCCCTAATGCCTAGAAATATAGAGAGGACATGACCTTTGTGTACTCTGGTAGCTACTGATCATAGAAAGAAAAATGCTGATGTTATTATTAACATTAACGATGACTATTTAAGTTCTATTTAAGTGTTCCACTAAGTCTTGGCAGTGATAGTGAATCAGCATGAACAATACCAGGACCCTGAAACTGAAGCAGCTACATGGAATTCAGCCATCACTGAAGACACAGTAAATGGCTGTCTTTCCTCTTTCCACCCACCATATAATGACAGGTATGAGAGGGTAGGAAAAAGTAATGCGACTTATGTAGTTTAGAGGGGCAGAATGTAACCCAGGTTATTTTCTGTCACTACAATGTACAGATGTCTCCCTAAATGCTTTACATGCAGAACATTGGAAGATGCTATAATTTACCAATGTTCCATGAACAATTCCCATGTAGGCTATCAGTAGGCGCTGTCAAGGCAGCTGAGCACAGACAAGCCTCTCCACCTAGCAACTCAGACAGGTGTTAGTTTAAAAAGAGTCAAATACAGAGTTCTGACGTTAGAGTTACCTGAGTGTAAACCAAGTGATTTTATCTAATAGAGCCTATAGGGGGGATGACAGTGAGAGTCGATTACATATGTCATGGAGTGCAGTCCTAGAACAAACATGCAGCATGCTCTCAGGCGCACCCGAATGACATGGCACATAGAGGGGAGCAGTAAAGATTAGTACAATAAAAACAATGGCTCACCTTGTTATGTATGAAACTGCCAATCAGATTAATTTACTTATTAATCAAAGGTGCCAGAGCGCCATTCCTTATCCTTCAGTCCCCCTTCAACCCCTGAATAAACACCTGTTGACAAAATCACTTCATTTGAAAAAAGACAAAGAAAAGTGTGATGTAAAGATTTAAAGGCATATTGTCCATGGGGTATTGGGGGGCACGTGTCACAATCACATTCCAAAATCCTATTTTGACCTCCTTACTTATAGTTTAAGATTAGTTTTCAAGCCTCCATGGACGTCTCTCTGACTGTCATCCACCTGGGAGAAGATCTGAGCTGATAAATGCTGATACACTCAGCTGTGAGTGATGCAGACATTTTTTGCCATAAGTCTTGTCTCTCACGCTACATACAGGCTACCCTACCTTACTGTTGGAGGTTGTTGGAGCTGCATAAAACCTGAAAAGAACACCTGCACATGGAACTGGGCTGAGAAAAAGGTCCTTGAACTAAATTTTCGGGGTTAAAGATGTTTTTTATTGTTGTTGTTGTGCTTTTTTCTTTTATTATTCTTCTTTTAATTAATTGCCTTTTATCAAGCAAAACTGAAACTAAGAAACATCAGGGAAAAAGGAAGATGATGAAATTAAATCTAACAGCTGTTGCTGAAAAGAATAGAAAGGAAAAGAAAGGAAAAGAATAGAAATAAAAGAAAAGTGAGTGATGTTGTGGTCTCTGCTGCAGCTGTAAGCTTTGATGGATTGTGGTTTTCATTGATAGTGTTGACTGAATGGAAAGAGAAAAGAGAGAGAGAGTAAAAGAGGCAAAGAGCCTTTTGCTCACTCTCATACATTTTTCTTAATCTTTCTTACCTGCACACCCCTCTTTTTTCTCTCACCCCCATTTTGCCCTTTCTCTGTCTCTATCATCCTCACATTTTCCTCTTCTCTCTACCTAGACTTCATGCTCCTTCTGTGTTTCCTATTTTGTCTCTCTCTGTGCTCCAAGGTCGAGTTAATGAATGACAGAGCATGTCATCAATTCCCCTTTCTCCCTTTACACCTGTCATACACACACACACACACACACACACACACGCGCGCGCGCGCGCGCGCGCACACACACACTGTATATTGATTGGTAAAGCAGCAGCAGCAGCTTTGTTGTCAGTCCAGTGAACCCACTCTGGGTTTCACTCTGCAGGCCCTGTGTATCTACCTGTGTATTTTTTCTTTGTCTGAATAAGTATAATTATTTTGCATGTGAGCCGGTTATATTAAGTAAAAGAAGGTGGACCACTGAGATTAAATGTCTTATTTAGCCTAAATTTATGTTAGCATTCTGCTCATCACCTGTAAACAATTCAAAATTCACAGACATTTGTTTATCACACTCCTACACATAGCATTGCCATCATGAGAGTGTAATTGCATTTGAAACTGGCTTTTCATTTCCACCTTAACTTGTAAATGAAATCTCACTTTCCCTTTCATTCTCACATGAAACAGGCTAAAATCATAGTATTAAGTATCAAATGTAAAGGTCCCCAAACATTAATATTTAATTCAAAACATCATGCACAGAAAAATTAAAAATTTAATTTGTTGAAATGTTTTTATTTTAATTTTGGCAACCCTACACTCCCTTAAATAATTTCAAACAAAGAAAAACTCACTATAAAAAAAGAAAACTTGCTGTTTCAGGAATTAAACTACAGATCTGACAATATCCACTTTGTTTTGTATTTATTTTCTAATCTCCACCTCTCTTTTGTATTTCAGAGTCTCCCATTGGTCAGATGCGTCCACCTCACGGCAGTGCCACACCTCAAAAGAACAGTAACCTCCTGGTCATCATAGTGGTTTCCGTAGGAGCCGTCAGCGTGGTTGTGGTTGTCATTGTGGCTCTCATCTGCACCCGGCGCTCCTCCGCCCAGCAGAGGAAGTAAGATGTTTCATTCATCTGTGTGATGCACTAAACAGCTGTCAGGGAAAGTAGGCAGGTGGAAAATGATCTGTTGACAAGGAAAATGGTAAAAATGACCATTTCTTCTTTTGTAGATGTTGATAACTAAGAGCAGTCAGCACTAACCACAATGAAAATTACATTGCATTTCCTGTGACTGCTCCACAACAAAAGCCACCATTTTTTTCACCAGCTGAATGCCTTTAATGTGAAGCAGCAGTGGAAGGATATTCTGTTGTCATTAGCAGTAACTTAAAACAGCTTTGACAGAGAATGAAGTGTCACTTCCTTCACAAATTCAGGGCAGGGATGGAGGATTCTGCAAAAAACAAAAAAATAAAATAAAAAATACTAAGTAGTATAAACTGAATGGCTATTCCAGTATACTAGGGTTTCAGTTCAGAACAAGCTTCAGTTGATATTATTTTAAATCCTTTTCGTTAGTTATTGCTAGTAATTTGGCAGGTGTTTATATGTCTGTCTGTGGACTTCTGTCACTACTCTGGAAAATAGTGATTGAAAAAGTGATGAAACTTTATAGGTGTGTAGTTCAGATACTCAAGGATGGAAACATGCTGAACTTAATTCAGAACCAGAGTCTTATGATGGGATAACATCAGCTGTGACACCCTTCATGTTGTTTTAGTCAAAATGAGTTTATAATCCAGTTCATGACATTTCAGTGGGCATTATTTTATAATCCTAGTTTCACTGGGAATGATTATACTTTTTTTCAGACAGTATTTTCTTCTCTCGATCCAGCTGTTTTTATCTGTTGTATAAATGAGGAGGCAAACGCTTTTATGGTGGAAGCACATTTCTGTAATGGTATTCATGCTCTGCTGGGATTTGAAGGGTTGCCTAGCAACATGACTGTAACAGCAGTTTACAAGTGGTTCATTGTGATATCCACTAACATTAGCCACAGAGTTTGTCCCTCGTTCTACCTGACCACTGACTTCCTTACCTGTGTGTCTCTCATCCTCTGTGCAGGAAGAGAGCAAGCCACAGTGCTAGTAAGAGGAAGGGCAGCCAGAAGGACCTGCGACCTCCTGACCTCTGGATCCATCACGAGGAAATGGAGATGAAAAACATGGAGAAAGCTCCCAGTGTCGCCCCATCTGGACGTGACTCACCCATCCAGTCCTGCCAGGACCTCCCCCAGGTTGCACACAGCCAATCAGAGAGCCAGATTGGCAGCAAGAGCAGCCACTCTGGTACAGGACGGATTTTCATTTATTCATGCTACAAATTTGTGATTTAAATGTTTTAATACTATTTGTATGATGTCTATTTAACATACAACAACACGCCTCCTAACTTTGAATAAAAAACAAAGTTGTGTTTATTAACTTTGAATTGCATCTGTCTTGCAGATGTTATTGTTCATCTCTCCGTTATCTGCAACATGAAAATCACCACAATGTTCAGAATACTAAGATTATAGATGCTATTTATAGTTTTATATCTGCACACTACATATTTATTATTTTCTTAATTTCTATGGTTCTAACCAATTAATTAAACTCATTACGCATGTATTGATGTAATTAGTAGTGTGATGAATCCTGATTCATTATGAATTTAAAAAAACAAATCTATCACGTAAAATTGTATAAATAATTTCCTCCAGTAGAAAACAGTTAACTGAGCTCATTTATGAAGTTCTCTTCTGACAACCAGAACGAATGTAAATGATAAAAAGCTTGTGGTGTTTGAGTGTTTGAGTGTTTTACTGTTGCAGGAGCCGATGGTGACGAGGCCTCCAGCAGCATCTCCACTCTGGAGCGCTCCCTGGCTGCCAGGAGGGGGACACGAGGCAAAATGATGATTCCTATGGATTCACAACCAAGCAACACACGTAAGAAACACAAGCCTGTGTGTGTATTTCCTTCTGATTTTTTCCTTGCACACATGATGACCTATTTTGAGATAGTGCTAAACATTAACTTTTTACTCTTGAGAAATGTTGTTTCTCTGAATCTGATTTTGAATCAATCAAAGATGGTGCAATCAGCTCAGCACCGGCTTTTATCAAGCAAATAAAAGTAGGAAATTAGTCCTTTTTGTAACTTAACTAATTCACTGTTTACAACAAATATTCTGATACATAAATGGAGAATTGTTGTTTTTACGCTTTAGGTACAGCATAAATGAATGTGATATAATGTGTTAATCAGTGAGCTTTAGAGGTGCTGATACCAGTGGTGGACATTTTAGAAATTGAATGTCATGGTCAGAAGAAAAGGAAAGGTGGAGCAGAGAGGAAGAGAATGAAAAAGAGAGGCTCTGCCACAGACACAGATACATGCTGCAAAATAGACAACATGTTTGCCAGTAAGGGACCAGCTTAAACACACACACATACACAAACTACGTACTCAGCATAGCTAGCTAAGTGGCTGATAACAGTGTGACACAACATTCTGTAGGCTATACATTGCAGCACATCATCCGTCTTTCTGGAGGAATTACATCATAGCAATGAGTGCGACATAAAGATCATATGACATTGAATAGCACACCTTGAAAGTCAAGACAGGCTACTTGTTGGTCAGTCCCAAATATTTGTATTTTGTAATCTGGATCAATTTCCTCCTAGATGAACGGAGTGCCTTGTAGCCTCTTACAACCACAAACAGTGTTAGCCAACAAGATTAGCAGTTTTATGGTTTTAGGTGAAAAGGGTTTCCTGGGATGGATTCAAATCCCATGCATGAATTACTGTTTCAGTGCACCCCTCTCTGATACTGTCAGTGGATTTTGTTACCTACGGGCAGAGCCAGGCTAGCTTTCCACCGATTTTCAGCCTTTTTCCTAAGCTAAGCTAACTGCTTAGCACACTATTTAGCATATGCATATACACAAAATGTTGAACCTTTCCCTTTAGGAGACTATTTGTGCCCATAATTAGTCCACAGACCCTCACAGACCAACACAAAGTCCTGAACCCAGGACCAGACCCGGCATCAGCTGAATGTAAGAACCCTGCTGCGCTGCAGAGTGGACTGTCTCAGGGCAGCAATGATGGCCACATTGTTTATCACTTTCTTCCTCTCTGTCTTTCTCTGGGAGGGAGGATGTTAAAAGTGTTTCATGAAAAGACAAAAGCAAAGTTGAGGGAAGAAAGAACACACACACATACACACACTGAAAATGACATACACACACTTTCTCACACAGATAATTAGCCCATATGTTCCCTCAGACTGACTCAAAGGACAGAGGGGAGAGGGAGAAGATCTGAGGGCGAGCAGTGAGGAGAGGAGGATGAGCAGGGGAATCTCAAAGAGCGAGGGAGAGAGAGAGACAGACAGACAGACAGACAGAGAGAGAGGCAGGAAAGAAACATGCAGTGGGAAGACGGAAGAGAGAGAGAGGAAGAGAGAAGTCGCGTTGAAGTCGCGTTTCAAAAGGTACCCGGAACTTTAAGTATCAGGTACTTTTCTTCAGGAACTAAAAGGTTCCTGTGGCACATTGTTGTCTGCGTTTCCACCGCGGCCTCAAATCCCAAGATTATGCAAAATTAGTGCTTGACATTACATTATTCACAGCACTTTGAGGACATAACATAAACGAAAATACGGGACCAATTGCGTCCTGTATATATTCAATACAGGACGCAGCATTTTATCATCAAATACGGGACGATCCTGTGTTATACGTGACGGGTGGCAACCTCAGCCACTCCGGTTGTTGTGGTCCTTTACTTTTTTGAAGTCCTGATTGAGTTTTTTTACCTTCTCCTGGACCTGTTTGCGGTGTGGAAAATGTGTTTGCTTGCCCGGTGTTTGCTCGCTCGCTGCAGACTTTTAAACATGGACTTTTAAAATAAAATGCGGCGTGGCCCACCCAGTCAGAAATGTTTAATTCGGCAGACCACACCCCCCAAAGTTCCTACTACCAAAGACTACTACCTTTATACAGAAGATACCGCATTACAGGCAGCGCCAATAGTATGAAATGCGACACAGTTCCGGTGTCCTAAGTGGGTTTTGTCCCTCAACCTCTCCCTCAAGCTAACCTCTCTGCATCCTTTGGGAAAGAAAAGACAGATCCGTTTCTTGTTATTACAACCTATTGCTACACAAAGCTCAGGTATTTTTAACACTAACTGATGGATTACTTGTCCCTGCCAAACGAATACAACGATAGACAATACAACATGGACACAGTACAAATTTGCGCCTTTTTTGATTTCTGATCAGCCCAGTACAAAGTCATGTCAATTTAATAGGCTAATAATCTGTTTTAGCAATTGTTAAGCCATGAAACAAGTTTTATTTAAGTTTTAAAGTTAGTCCGTGGTTTAACATAAGTTAATCAAAAAATAACTCTGGTCCATCTAAACATCTCAGAGTATGGCAGGTCTCCAATAAAGTTAATTTTCCCCGGATCTGTTCGTTTGAAAAATGTCATTTTGATGTCAGAATGTTCTGAAGATGAGCGGCTTGTGCAATATTGGGTGCAATATTTATTTCGGTGACTATAGAGCAAAAGAATATTTGATAATCTGTGATCTCGTTCACGGCAGTAAGTCGGACCTGTTCCCGGTGAGGGTTGGACTCCGCCAGGGCTGTCCTTTGTCACCGGTTCTGTTCATAACTTTTATGGACAGAATTTCTAGGCGCAGCCGGGTGGTGGACGGGTTTGGTTTCGATGGCGGGAGGATCTCGTCTCTGCTTTTTGCGGATGATGTGGTCCTCCTAGCTTCATCGAACGCCGACCTTCAGCTCTCGCTTGGGCGGTTCGTGGCCGAGTGTGAAACAGCTGGGATGAAAATCAGCACCTCCAAGTCTGAGGCCATGGTTCTCAGCTGGAAACGGGTGGATTGCCCGCTTCAGATCGGGGGGGAGGCTTTGCCTCAGGTGGAGGAGTTTAAGTATCTCGTTCACGAGTGAGGGTAGGATGGAACGGGAGATCGACAGGCGGATTGGGGCGGCGTCAGCAGTGATGCGGACGCTGAATCGGTCCGTTGTGGGGAAGAGGGAGCTAAGCCGGAAGGCGAAGCTCTCAATTTTCCAGTCGATCTACGTTCCGATCCTCACCTATGGTCATGAGCTTTGGGTAATGACCGAAAGAACAAGATCGCGAGTACAAGCAGCCGAAATGTTTCCTCCGCAGGGTGGCCGGGCTCAGCCTTAGAGATAGGGTGAGGAGCTCGGTCATCCGGGAGGGACTCGGAGTAGAGCCGCTGCTCCTCCATGTCGAGAGGAGCCAGTTGAGGTGGTTCAGGCATCTGGTGAGGATGCCTCCTGGACGCCTCCCTGGGGAGGTGTTTCGGGCATGTCCCACCGGGAGGAGGCCTCGAGGTCGACCAAGGACACGCTGGAGGGATTATATCTCTCAGCTGGCCTTGGAACGCCTCGGGATTCTCCCGGAGGAACTGGTGGAAGTGGCTGGGGAGAGGGCTGTCTGGACCTCTCTGCTGAGGCTGCTGCCCCCGCGACCCGTATCCAGATAAGCGGGAGACGACGACGACGACGATCTCGTTCACTTCGTCCATTGAAATGAATACACTCAGACCTGCTTCCAGTCTCCTAAAGGGGCAAGGAGGTGGAGAAACCCAGTTGACACAGATATAGGAAATAAACGGCAATGAAGCGTCTCAGTTTCTCTACTGTCTCTGGTACTACCCCCCGACCAGGTACCTTTTTGGAGGTCGATCAATTACCCCAGAACTAAATTTAGACCCTGGTTCCTGCAGTGGAAATGCACATAGTTCCTCAAAAGGTTCCTGGTTCCTGGGGAAAGTTCCTCCAGTGGAAACGCGGCTAGAGAGAGAGAGAGAAAGAGAGAGAGAGAGAGAGAGAGAGAGAGAGAGAGAGAGAGAGAGAGAGAAAAGAAACAGTGTGAGAAAGTGAAGTGTTACTTTCAATCCTCATTATGTTTCAATTTATAGTGTGTGAATGGGTTCATAGATATGTATAGCGTGTGTGTGTGTGTGTGTGTGTGTGTGTTTGAAGCTTGTGTTTGACTACAGCATTGATCGTGCTGATGTTCAGTAACATATGATGTTTTAGTAAACTGTCTATTCGCCTCCAGTAAAAACAGCTGATCAAGTGATCTTTGTTTGACTGAATTCAGTACTCTATGATCTCAGAGTAGCGACAGTCACTGCTAAACTAAAGAACCTCAATTTTAAAGCTCCAAAACAAAAGTCCAAACAACAGTGAAGTCATCACTTGTTCCTGTCCTTGGATATGACCTACAGGAGCATATCAGCAGCAGGCATACCAGTCGTCATAGTAACAGTGAAGCAGCCCATATGAGCGTAGCAATGGGAGGTGTACTGGACAATCATCTATATGCTAACAATAATAAATACAGTTGTAGAGTATACAGTTTGGTTAGGTGTTAAGTTAGATTACTTTTAAAGTTATATGAAGCCAACTACTAAAGACAGTATGAGTATATGAGTATAACACTACTAATAAAGCTGATAGAATAAAATCATAAATGAAATCATATATAAATAAAATCTAGATTAAAACAGCTTTCTCCCATAGTCCTGACCTCAACATTTAAGTGTTTATTAAGATTTATAGTAGGGCTGTTGTACAGGGTTCTGTTAGACTGTGCAGGCTTTCTTCTATTCTGGATCTCAGGGTTTGTGTTTGTATGGTTTATATTGTAACAGTTGGATTGCATTGGATTTGCTAATGTTGTTGCATTTTCCCAGACTTGTTTAATCTTCTTTCATGTTAGGATATATTGCTTAAATTAATAAAAGCCAACCAGACAGCTTCTCTATAAAGCTGCTGTCTTAATCATACAACATGTAATTTTGTGGCTTGTTTGTTTTACCCTAAAATCAGTCGATGAATCTGATTTGAAAGCAGTTTAATGAAGTTTGACTGAACTGCTCATTCTTGGTTTAGACTTGACTAAAATGATTTTAGTTTCGTGTTTGTCAACTAATCTTTTGATGACTAAAAAAAGACAAAATTTTCCATCGACTAAAACTAGACTAAATGTTGATGTTTTCTTTGACTGAGACGAGACTAAATGTCCAGAGTTCAAGTCGCCTGAACATTCACTAAAAACAAAAAAGATGACGTTGACTAAATATGACTATCATGAACTTTTAATCTGAGGACTGAGGCTGAATCTAAAACATAGCTGACAATACTAACATTACCAACAGATTCATTTGTCTTCTCTGTAACAGCTAAAGTTGTAGCAGTCTTCCAGAAAGAAGTCTCCCAGCAGGCACAGGACATCAGTGTAAGGCCAGAAAGAAATTGGACTGATGTTAAATGTTGGTTGGAAATGAAAATTTTGTTGACATCAAAACTGGCGCACTGACACATGGTGATGCTCAGCAGATGCTCACGACTAGAATGTGAAGATGGTGTTGGCATGAGATGGATGGAAGATGATGGATGGTGGTGACTAAACAACACAACCTAAAACCAGCAAAACATCAACAACAGCTGTCAAACTGACAGCTACGTCAAACTGATGTTGATTTTTAATGTTATTATTTACTAACTTTTACTAACACTAAGGCATTAAATACCTATATTCTGCCCTTGCTGCTTCCCCAGCACAGCTATGCAGACAGCGAACTCATCCACTGCAGACACGTGAATGTCATTTTACGATTTTATTCACAGGCCCACAGATAGACAGAGTAAAAACTGTAAAAAAAAAAAAAAGCATAAATCACAATTAGACTTGCATTTCTCATTAATAAAAAGGGAATAAACACAAATATACAGGTAGCAAATGAGAGCTAATAAGCTTAGCCAACGCTAACTACAGATGCTTACTAGATATCTGTGTATGTTAGCACGCTATGCTAGCGCCATGAAGCTAACATTAAATAAACGTTTTTCGTAAATTATCTAACATTCCTCACAAGTCATAAGCACTATATAAATGAACAAACTTACGAGTTGTGCTCACGGAAGACGTTAAGGACCTCAAATCAACAGCAATAATGTATTAGAATGACAGGAAAAATAGCAAATGTAGTGAACTTTCACTTCCTGTCCCTCGCCCTTTTTTTCTTTCTATTTCCTGTTTGAACCTTCAAACTAAAAGCATGCACAAAATAACCCAAAACGTCAGAAGTAGACAAAATTAACTCTTCACCAAATTAAAAGGCTCTGAAACACTGCAAGAGCCAGAACAACCTATATATGATAAAGTATGCAACAGAAAAATATATAACAAAATAAAATAAGTTCCCTTAAAGAAAGAACCAACCCGAAAAACAAAAGACATGAACACACAAAAAAAAAAATTAAAGACTGAGACAGAAAATATGATATTTAGCTGTGACTTTACGATGGACATTTGACATTTGAACAGTGAAATTAATAGACCTTGCTTGAATTCTAAGCACAGAATATATCATTTAAATAAATTAACAAACTAAAGGTAATTCACAGAAAAAAGATTGTGCTGAAGTTTACTGGTAAAATTTGGCATTGCAATTAAATCTGCTTAATATTGAACACAATTGCATATAATTATATTCACTTATAATTGAACAAAAGCTCTTTGATTAAGGTCAGTGAAAGATGGTGGTTTTGTTTATATATAAATAAAATGTTGAACTTTTTTCTTTATTAAACCATACCATGATCTTCCCATATAACCTTCATCAAATGCTGTGAGTGCTTAAACAGAACCAAAAAAATAATAAATGTATCTGCTGTCACAGTTCAGTTGTACAGAAACATGATTTTTAGGAGACAGCTCCAACCTGCACTTTGAATGCCCTGAAGTGTCCACGTCTGACAAGTTGGGAGTGAGAACATGTTCTCACTTGTAACAATAATGTAAGAACATACAAAATGATAGCTATGACCATAAATATATTTCTCCGGTGCACACTGCAAAACTTCCAAACACACCTACCTCATGTAACTGCAATCACATGATCAGCACTCAGCCAGTCAGTGCTCACCTCTCTACTCATGTTGCCTTTATTTCAGAATAAAAGCACATCATTAATTAATAACGCATTAACAAATCAATCATCTATCTGTGTGACAGGAATCCACTTACCTGTCTGAGAATGAATTAGCCTGGATTAGTTAAACCACCTTCTCAGCTCCATCCCACACTCTTCTGTTGTCACTGTCCTGTCATTTCCATCACACACCCTGTCAGCTATGTTCGCCCCCCCTGGACTCTGTCAGACCTCATTTACTCCTGTTGCACTGTTTTATTTACATCACTCTGACCAGCTCATGCACCGTTCTGCTGTCTGTTGTACAGTCATATTAGCACCCTAACAGCAACTCCGTCATACTGCCTTCATCCCCTTAACACCTCCTGCCTGTGCTGACACGCTGTGGGTGGAGTTCACGGTGGTTGTAGTTGTCTGTAAACACATCCATCTGTCTGTATAAACCTGCTTTAATTTACCAACAGACTGATGTGCAACACCTGCAAGTCTCATTGACATCCACGAACCATTTTTTTTACAGAAGCAGATTATCTAATTACTGACTCTCTCTCTCTCTCTCTCTTTCTCTCTCTCTCTCTCTCTCTCTCTCTCTCTCTTTTTTGTTTATAATTCTTCTTTACTCCTGTTGCTGTAATTTACTGCAGTTGTAACAAGCTGCTGCCACACTGAACAGTAACAATCATACATCATACAGTTACATAAAGTGGTTATTTGTCGAGAGTGTGAGACAGTGAGTGACTGATCATTTTTTCTGCCATGTGACATTCAATCCTGTGTTTTACATTAATGTGTGTGTGTGTGATATGTGGGTCACAGTAAAACAGGAAAACTCTTCAGGCTTCCTCTGCCCACACACAGGCCTGACCTCTATTGTAGTGTTTTTCTATGTGTTATGTTTTACACTAAGGTTCAGTCAAAAACAATTTCTCGTTATCTCCTCCCTAAAACTGGATGGAACTAAACCAAAACTAATAAACTAAAAATGGAATAAACTACATCACCAAAAGAATATTTTCACTTTCTGTCAAAAGAAAATGTGTCATTACAGGAATCTCAATTGAGTCTTGTCAAAATATCATCAATAATCAATATCTTTCTATTCATTTTCATTCAGTTTCATTCAAAAATGAAAGAAATTCTTTGTAAAATAATTAATTATATATGCTATTGTAATGATTATTTTGAAAATGGTATTGACACTCAAGAGCACCTTTTGTTCTTACAGAGAATTATGTTTAACATGGAGTTTAATGAAAAATATGTTTTGTGATACTGGAACTGGAATTAATTTGAACCAATCAGCATTATAACCTTGAAATGATACAATTACTATTTTTAGACCTGAATTCAGACATCCTTGAGGTATCCTTCCATGGATGACATTGTCACCAAAAATTACAGACAGCTAATGGATACATTTCAAATTATGAATATCTGACTGCATGTCTTTTGTGGAAATGACTATCCCTCCTTTTCTTAAGCTAGTAGTTGAATTTACCATCAGTAATTGATGTTTTGGAAAAGATACTGGGTCAGAATCAGAAAAGGTTCTTCTGCCTTCCTCTGATTCAATTTTTATAAAACTTTGACAGAATTGCAACCTCTTATAGGTAATGTGGGATTGTTTGAATATGCATTAATTCTTAAATTCCTGTAGGGTCTGCACTGTTTCTCTTTGTTTCCGTCTCTCTCTCTCTCTTTGTCTCCTCTGATGCAGCATGAGCCTTCTTCACTTTTTTATCCCACTGCCACGTCTCTGCTCTGCAGACAACAGGCTTCTGATCTCTTTATCTACCTTCTGTTTTTATCTCTTTGTGTCTCCTGTCTGGTTTCCTTTTCTCTGTGTCTCTCTTTCTATCAGTTTGTTTCAGTTTCATCTCAGTCTGCTTGTGCTTTTTTATCATTTCTGTTTTTTCTCTCTTTTATCTCAGTTTCTCTGCTTACTCTCTGTTATCTGTAATTTTAACATTTATCTTTCTTGATTTTGTTTTTGTCGTTTTGCCTCTTCTTTTGTTTCCTATTTTTCTTTGTCATTTATTTCTTTGTCTTTCTCCTCTATTTTCCAGTTTTGTGTTTATTTATCTCACTCTCTTCATTTTGTCTCTTTGTCGTTTTCTCTACTTCTCTCTATACACATACATACACACACACACACACACACACACACACACACACACACACACACCAATCTCCATTAACCTGTAGTTTGCTGCCTCACTGAACCAAAGTCATCAATATTCTCAATCAATAACAGCATTGACCAGACTTGCTCATCTCTGGTCATCTCACTGCTGTAATCAAACCCTGCCTCCCTTTAAATGATCACAGCACAAGCAAAGTAAATAACACACACACACACACACACACACACACACACACATACAGACAAACACACACCTCCTAAAGCTGCTGATCACAGCCTTGCTTCGTCCAAATTATCAATACTTTTCAATCAATATTGGTATTGATCAGGGTTTGGTAGAATTAGACTCCATGGTTCAAAAAGAGAAAGCAGGAGGCAGAGACCCACCCCTGTCTTCTTTTCTGTTAGTCACTAGAATTCAAATGAAAAAAACACATAATGCCGGAGACATGACAGAGTCAGCACATGCCGTCGTATACAACATGAAACTGACCTCAGGCTTCATACAGGCAGATTTCTGAGTCAAACAACTCCGCCGACAACTCTCCACAACAGTTTAAAGAGATTAAACAAGGAAATATAAAGATAGAGCTTTAAACTCTTTGACTTTTTTTAAAGTTTTGGACAGAGCCAGGCTAGCTGTTTCTGCTAGCCTGTACTGCTGTTTCATTTTGTGCTAAGCTAAGCTAACCAGCTGCTGGCTCTAGCTTCATAATTTCAATGAGACAAAAACCTGTGAAAATGTGTTTATGTGATATCATTGTCCATCTTCCCCCAGGCAACAAAAGTTATTCCATAACATTTACGTAGCTGTCAGTTTGTTTTATACAACTGTGTGTAGTAAACACTTTTTTAGTGACACTGTCAATGAGTTGACATTACATGCATCATTCATGACAGAAGTGTCACTTGACTGATTTCACTATGAGGTGGGAAATCTGCAGCAGGTATAGACCGAAAAAAAAAAAGTTCTCCTAAGAAATCTACAAACATACATCTACATTGGCAAACACAGTACTGAACGCAGCTCAAACATAGACTAGACTGGATGTTCTTTAAAAAAAGGCAACGAGACAGACAGACACACAAACATGCACACATGCACACACACACAAGGGTGCATCTTATCTTCTAAACAGGCATGAAGTGTGTGTGTGTGTGTGTGTGTGTGTGTGTGTGTGTGTGAGAGTGTGTTTGTTGTGTACCTGAGGCAGTGTGTAATCAGTCTCAGGGTTTGACTCCCTGCAGTTTCCTCTCAAGGTCACAATATGCACTTTGTGTGCTCTGCCTGCTTTGCTGACTGATTCTCCTCATCTCTGTTTATAGCAGCTCTCTGCTCTGGTCGACTGCTTTACTGACTGCTGCAGGACTCACTTTTTATATGATCTTCTATCTTTTCTCTCTTTTTTACTGATCTCAATAAAAAAATACTCCTGTCTGGTTGTTCTATTTTTCTGAGCTGATTTTCCAGAAAATATACCAATACCGGCAATATCATGATATATGGTGATACAGTATTATGATTTAGATCATCTATGAGTGAGATCAACCGATCCACAACCGATACCGATCATTTCTGGCAGACAATGCAGATGGCATACGTTCTATCAGTCTCACACACTTAAAAAAGTAAAAGCTCTACACGGCAGACATGTTCTTTTGTTTTCATGGCCTGTCGGGCACTGGCACATTGAGGCAGGCTTAAACTACACAGCAAACAGAGCTTTTCTCAGCTGCAGACACCACATTATTAACCACATGTGATCGGTTTACAGTGATTAGTGACTAGAAGCATTAATTCTGATCTACCAATCACATATTTTTTAAGAAAACTGGCTGATAATGATCGGTGGCCGATCAATCGACGCATCCCTAATAAAATTCCATAGAGGATACAGACTCTTTTTGTCTCTGTTACTGGTTCACTGATTATTTTGTGACATCTCTTTCTGCTGTGCCACTGTGCCGTGGGTGACTGACTGTTCTGTCTGTGTTTCAGCGGTGGTCAGTGCCATCCCGGTGCCAGCACTGGACTCCTCTCAGTATCCTGGTATTCTGCCTTCACCTTCCTGCAGCTTCACACACAACAAGTTCAGCCTGAGGCCGATGCCTTTCCCCAGCCTGACCGTGGACAGAGGATACACACCAGGTACTGCAACACTGCTGCTATTAATAGTTCTGTATAGTTCTGCATCAAAGAGTTAAATTCCATATTTATGAAGTGCTTCTGAGATTTCAAAACACTGAGACATATATTGTGCATCGCAATGTAGCCAAAAAAATATTGTTATTGTTATTTATTGGTATAACATATCACCCAGCCAAAATGAAACACTGCCCATATTAATAATGCAGCTGAAAACAATGAGCATTAAACAGACAAGTATGTACATCTGTGGATCTTGGTCTTGCGTTATTAACAGACGAGAGTCTGCAGTTCTGGGCCAGCAGGCAGCTGAAAATGTGGTAGAAGCTGAACTAGGAACTTTCAGCAAAACTCTGCAGAAGTCCACAGAAATGTTTGTGAGAGGATTCACACACCTCTCACCTCTGATCCACATTTCACATACAGTCTAAAAAAACGTCAGACTACAGTGTGGTGTGTGGTAAGATGTGTTAAAACCCCCATGCCCATTGTTTTCTGTGGAAGTGTTAGGTATGTATAAGGAACCCTGAAGATCAGGATGTGAACCAGCAGTTCCAAAACCATATTACACAAACAAATTAGCCCATTAATTAAAAGGGAGTCCCCAAACCCACAGAGAAAAACAACAGCTTTAAATACTCTCTAGTCAAGACTGTCTACACTCCAACCTGAGGTGGTTGTTGGAGTGTTGAGCTAACTGGTTTACCACCTTCTACCTACAGTACTACCTCTAAGGCTGAGGAACACATCAGTAACTCACTTCATTAGTTGGTGAGGTTACAGGTTATTGTGGTCTTAGAAACCATTCCTGGAGAGCAAGTAATGTCAAAGTCTCTGTCCTGGTCTTTATTTGGGGGAGTTTACCAAAGACAGTTACATCAGCCAGACATGTGTGGTAGTTCTCATCCTAAAAGGCTTTTCTCTTATACTATAACATGACATCACCAATAACACTAAATCTAACTACCACTAAAAATAATGGGAATGCACCTAGTAACTATTGCTACTAATAGACTATTATTACTATGATTAATGGTATTATTAACAAGCTATTGTTATGACATCATAATACAACTTTAACCTTTAATAAATATGACAGGGCTCACACTGCAGCATCTTAATCTTCTCAACTCTCTATCCAGTGCCCCCCCGCCCTGTTGTATTTAAGCCATTTTGCAGCAGAGCTAAGTGCTAAACAACGGGGTGGTGAGCAGTAATTCAGTAATTGGCTAATTCCTGGTCGGCTTGTATCAATGATTTAACAACTGTAGCGAGACAAGGAGCAGCTTCAGAGTCATTGAGTTAGCCAACACACTGGGAGGACCGATTACTGCTGGCATAACACATGATTGTTGACGGAGGGGTGCAGTGAGATGTGAGGCAGATGTAATGAGAGAGAGATACAGAGGCTATTAATGAGGGAGATAACATAAACTTTACAATCAATGAGATACAACAGTGAGCTTCACTGACTGCAAAGTGAAGGTGCAAGACTGTGTCCAGTCCAGTTCAGTGACACCCAGCAGACAGCTTCAGGCTCTGTCACCATGTGGCTAATGACGGGGTGAAGTTAGTTAATAGTTGGATAAAAAACAATATTTTAATCAATTCATTCTGATTTTGGATGATTCAAAGCAATGTGAATACATTACGGATGTGGCTCAGCAGGTAGAGTGGGTAATCACAAGGCCAGTGCCTCTGTCTCCTGTGTGTGTGTGTCTGTGTGTGTGTGTCTGTTTGTGTGTGTGTGTGTGTGTGTGTGTGTGTGTGTGTCTGTGCGTGCATGCGTGCGTGCGTGCATGTGTATGAACTGTGAAGTGCTTTGGATGAATATACTGTGTAAATGCAGTCCATTTACTGTTTACTATGATTATATATCTCTAGATGAAGTCTTCGCCATAGCAACAGCTGATTCACATCTCATCATCAGATTTAATGCACATACTCTATATTTTATACTATTTTATATTTTATTTTAGACTTTATATTACTTGAATCACAATTTTACCACCACAATATTGAACTCTAGAACCACTACTGGTGAAAAACTCAACACCGTACCATTAAAGAGATATTTAACAGGGTAATCAAGAGTGTGAAAGCCAAATCTGGAAAATCAGCGTGTGGTGCTTGAACACAAAGCTGAGTTAAAAGTTGAGTTGCTGTAGTATGGTTAAATTATCCAGGAGTCTGAGGAAATTTTAAGTGGAAAGTTCTGATGTGAAAACTGAGCTGGATATTTCTCCAGCCTGTTGTCAGCAGCTTGTGTTCTTCTGCTGACAGAACAAATAAAAACCTAATTTAATAAATCAATTCACCATTCTGCTTCTACAGCTCTAACCAGTGGATGTGTTGTCCCCCCACGTGTACATTAAAGTGCATTAACTGTTGTGTTTTTGTGTGTAAGTAGAGTAAGAGAACAAACAACAGAGGTGTTATTTCATTGTGTTATTGCAGCCTTCTGTCAAAAGTGGTGGAGATTGGGTTTGTGATGGAGAGGAGATGGGTGGGCAGTAAATGGTAGCGATACCAGAGCTTATGAGAAAAGAGGACACATCTTCCCTTCCTCTGTCATCTCCTCTATATTTATTGTACTTTCTGCTTCTTTTATTTGTTTATTTTTTCTGGTTCTTCTTCTTGAGTTGGATCCCCTTCATTGTCTTGAAACTATCATAAAATGATCCAGACTGTCTGATCTCTGGATCACAGTAGCAGCAGTGTGATAAAGAGGAAGTAGAGGATTAGAGTCATGAAGGTGTGCATGCTCACCATAAGGGTAATTGGTGAAATGTTTCATGTTAGTTCTGATCTTGTGACTTCCTTCTCAGTGATCCTCTCTGGAGAAAGTTTCCGTTTCCTTTCTGGGTGGCTGTGAGTGGAGGATGTTGTCACACGTTAGCCCGTTAGCCTATTTTGTTTCACTCCATTCATTCAGCTTGATATTGTCCAGAGAAGTTATTTGTCTCTAACATCTGATGCGACCTGTAGGAGTGTCTCCTGAAATAGTACCTCTATGATGTACTAGACCTTGTCGTCATGGTTACAATAATAAACACACTGGCAGCATAAAGGACCTTCGTTGCCATAGGGACAAACAATCTACCTGGTTGGAGGGCTTGTTGCAAATCCCTCTCCCTTTTCTTTTTCCCCTCCCATCATCTGCTTTCCACCCCCGTGTTCCCTTCATCTTCAAGTATCTCCCACATTTCTTCTCCCAGCTTTACTCTTTTCTTCCTCTTGTCTCAGCTGGTTAATGAACACACATCAACTCTACATGAAATGAGTGGCTGTCCTGACTCACCCATGTTCTCTCTGATCAGACTGGCTGTAGCTACACAGGGAGTTTCATCTCTCATGTCACATCAGAGGGATGTTTCTGCACACAGTCAGGATATTTCTCTTATCTTTTCTTCAGCAGGAAGCTCCTCCTCCTCTTCTGTTATTCGTCTTCCTCTTTCTCTTACACGTGTCTCTGCAAAGGTGAAATCTCAGAGTGTGAAGAAATATAGCCTAAACAGAAATGACCACACTCAACAAAGAAAAAGAACAAAGCTGCAAATCGGAGTTCTGGGTTTCTTTACACCTGAGTGTTTTAAAATTTATTATTAAATGAAAGATTCATGAAAGCTTAACTGTGCAAATGGCAAAATATGACTATTTTGGATTTCATGGCAGGAAAACACAGCTCAAAGCAAAGACAGTGGACAAACATGACCCATACATGCATCCGTCTGTCTATAATGGGGTTTAAACACATTTTGAAGGAGCACAGATAATCAGGCACGCAGCTGAAGTTCTATGCAGCAATATTTACATTAACATTCTTGACAGAAAACCATTTTCAATCCTGCTGCCCTCATGCTGCAGCGGTCATTTAGACAATTGTAGCACATTTTCTCTGTGTGTTGCTGCCGACATCAAAGCAGAAACTGTCTGTGAAATAAGGCTGAAGCTCTTCAGGTTTTTCTCTCAGAATATTCACACGTTTGAAGTTTGTTTTCTTCACTGTACACTATGTTTTTCTGTCTTTTCTACAAATGAATGTTCACTCTTTACAAATGACTCTGATTAATTGGATGTTTGTCTTTTCCCCTTCTTTCTCCTTGTCCCCATTCTTTAATCCTTCCCTGATATCTCCCGTCTCTTTTCATCCTCCCACCAATTCTTTTCACATCCTTCCCTCTGTCCTAACTTCCTTCATCTCCTCCTTTCTTCTCCTCAGTGATGCCCACAGACACCTCCACCAATCCTCTCCTCCAGCAGCAGCCTCCACCACAGCAGGCCCCTCCCCTCCTTCCTGGCTCCTCTGCTCAGCCCGTGGAGCATGTTCCTGGGGTTGGCCCGGTCCCAGGTGCTCCTGCGGCTGCTGCAGCCGTCACTGAGGAGGCCCAGGCAGGGGGGGGTCGGACCATCCCAACAGCCTGCGTACGGCCCAGCCACCCACTACGAAGTTTCACCAACCCACTGCTGCCACCGCCCATGGGGACTATCGACCCCAAGGTTTACACCTCCATGATGCCGCAGTCCAGTGAGTACAGCTGTTTGTTAGTCTTTTTTTAAATCTGTAAGTGAACTCCACAATGATGTCATGGTGTTTCTTTATATAGTTTGTTTTATACCATGCAACAACAAGAAAGAGGGATGCAGTCAATATCAAAACATTCTGCCCTGAACATGAAGAGTTTTTCTTCCAGTTGTGCAGCACATTTTACAGCCTCACAAGTGTGACATGAATTTACGTGTCGTGACATCATGTGTTGTATTGTGTCAAAACACGACCATATGACAAAGAAACGTTACGTGATGTAACATGATGTTGTGTGAGGTGATTTGACATAATGTGACAGAATGTGACAGAATGTGACAGAATGTGACATGATGTGATGTGATGTTGTGATGTGATGTTACATGACAGGATGTAACATGATATGATGGGGCAGTGGATGTGTCAGGAAAACCCTTTTTCCCAAAATTGTAACACGACATAATACAACACAACAAAACTCGACACAACATAACGCAACATAACATTATGTAAATGAAATTTAGAGCCTGTGTGTTTAGCATCAGTTTGTCTAGTGTACGGTAGATTGTGCTGCCAGAGAGCTGTATTTAAGTGAAAAGGAAAACTCTTGACCTCATTTATCCTGTTTTCAATGTGCTTTGTTTTAGAAAAGTGCTGACCATGTTTGTCCTTAACTAAAGTGTTAAATAATTCCTCCATAGGACTGATGTGTAGTGTACTGTCCTAATAAATATGTATTTGTTGAGACACAGTTATGTTAAGACATGAGACACTGATGTTTAGATGATTAGATGTTTCAACAGAACTGACAGAGTATGAAGTATTACATCAGTAGTGATGTACTTTTATTGTTACCTTTATTACATAAACTTTAGTGAAGCCTTTTGCCCAGTAGAAAGAGTTCCTTGCCCTCAACTGGAGATTATTATTTTTTCATTTCTTCATCCCATTAAACACTAACAGTCTGGTGTAACGCCTTTAGGTGAAGTGAGAAGACGAGAATGAGCGAGATTTGCCTCACATGATGACAAAAAGATTCCGTGTTTGGTTTCAGTCTCTGAAGCTCCAGTCTGTCATTGATTGTTTGGTTTACTTCCAGTGACTCTTTGTTTAAGCTGGATTGTCTCCACTTAGCAACTGCACTTTGTTTAATATTTTATTCAAGGAAGCTAAATGCATTAGCCTCAGGCTGCTACACAGTGTGTGTTTGTGTGTGTGTGTGTTGTTTGTAGAAGCATATACTGTGACAGGGCTTGACATTAGCCAGAGGGTTGGACTGAACTCTCCCTGTTCTCTCTCTCTCTCTTTATGTTACCTGTCTGTCTTTTCATACGACTGCCCTTCTCTCTCTCTCTTTCTCCCCCTTTTCTCTTTTTCGAGGAGCATTACATTTGACAAAACACCCCTCTCTCCTCACCCTCCTCAGTTATCTCTTGTCTTTTTTTAGCCTTGCTCACAGTTCTGGATTGCCTTGGTACACTCCATGGTGTTTAGACAATGAAAACTGATGACATAGTGAGTCCCTGACATTTTCTTTAGCACTACCATCAAGTCAAAATGTCAAACTTTAGTTATGATCAAATAACTGAGCCTGATATCATCTACACAACTGATGAGCTACATCCATTAAAAAAATGAAAAAATAAGAAGGAAGATTATCATTGTAACGATGCTGGTATGTTTGTGATGCTGGTATGTTTGCAGTAGCTACATATTGAAGCTTGGTGATTTGGTCATTATTAGACAGCACATGGCTGTAGAATAAATCCCTTGAACAGAATACTTCTACTTCTACTGAGCCATCAGTGAAGATCTCAAGAACCCACCAAAACAAGTGAGAGAAAAGAGAACAGACACAGGAACAAGCACACTGTTGCAGACTGAACAGTGCTCAGATCGGTTGTTCTCTGCTCACTCATTCTTTTGCCATCTATGTACTTCCATATAAAACACCATTAGTGTTTGTGTGTTAGTAAGGAGATGTTCCACAATCAGCCTCCAGAACAGCTTCACTGCTAGTATGATGATAGTCAGTGTTACTGGTGTTCACGGTATTCACAGTGTTCAGGTACTCACCGCTTACATAACTTGCCCACTGTCCCCACTGTCTTTTTTCTTTTTTTTATAGACAGAAACCCCATTTGGTTCATTTTAGCAATTCAGCAGCAATGCCCACGTTCATCAGATAAAAAAACTCCAGTTTGTAAAATACTAGTTTTCAATACTTAGTCGGACACTACAATTATAAATTGACAGTGTTTGCTCCGTGCAGCAGCAGAGTCACTGAGTAACACAGAGTGACAGTGACAAGACAACAGTGGAGGATTTGGTGTCAAAGCCAAAAGCAAAAGCACCTATTTGGAAATTTCAGATTCAAACCCAGAGCCAAAAGGGAACCTGATGACATGAATGAGGCAATCTGCGAACTCTAATGAAGGGGCAACATCTGGAGGAAACACTTCTCATCTACAAATATTTTTCTTATGAAATGTCCAGTGTCATCTGTAACACCGGTGATGTCGTATCTATTCTACTCCATGTCCTTCCTCATGGACAACATATTCCCTCATCCCCTCTGCGATTTTCTTTCTTTTCCCTTTATATTCCCCTCTTACTGTCAGTCTTTTTCAGACCTGTCTTTCTCTTTCTCCTCTCCCTCTGTGTCTCACTCATCCTGGCCTCCCCCCTCTGATCACATGCAGCAGCATCAACACAAAACAAAACACTCGCCTACAATACATATGATCTCTGGACTGTGTGTGTGTGTGTGTGTGTGTGTGTGTGTGTGTGTGTGTAAGTGTATTTGTTGTGTGTAATGCTTTCTTTAGGTGTGTATCACCTCAGTGTGTTTGTGTGGGTGGGTGTATATAGTTCCATTATGGTTCTGTTTATACGCCCAGGTGGCCTCAGATTAACATTGATTTTCAGCTCCTGGAAACCTTTCGCTCAGAAATAGTGAGCCTGCGGCAACAATCAGCTCAGCTCCCAGAGACCCCCCGCTCACCCTGTGACCCCCCCCACCTCCCCTACACTGCTCCTCTCCAACACAGGCCCTCAGAGCTGAGCAGCACTACCTCTATCAGCCCCACCCCCCTCCATCTCTCTGTAAAGGAGGGAAAAAACAGACTTGTGAGCAATGGCGTTTGATGTTCATTGTTTGTCTTGTTTGTGTGTTTATTCGGGCCTGAATGACTCCCCCTGTGAGAGGAATGAGATGTTCTCATGCTTTAATTGGATTGTTGTGGTGAGAGAGTGAGGGCTGGAGAGAGTGAGAGAGACCTGGGCAGAGGGAAGGTTGATACAAAGGTTTGTAAGATGGAGAGAAGGCTGCACATGAAAGTGGTTTAGTTGACAGAGTCAGTTCTTCCTCTGATGTACCTGATGTTAGTTCCACAGAAACTGTAATGTCCTGGTTCTATTCTTGAAGTTTCTGGATTATGTTTTTTGTCAAAATAATGTGGAAACATTTTTATTGCCCATAAGTGAAAGACTTTTACTGTCAGTGTATTTCATTCATGTTTCTAAAATACTGACGACTGGGAAATAAAACATGATGAATGTTTTTGCCTGTTTTTAATCAAGTCAAAGCAAAACATAATTTTAAAAAACATTTCATAAAACCTCTTGAACCTTAACCTTAAAGTGTTATGAGTGAATGTAGAATTTGTACACTGCAACGATAGAGAGTAAATAAATAAAATAAAAACTAATTACAGTGTTGCCAGCAAAAGGGCAGTCAATGAAATCAGGTAAAATCAGGTCCTCTAGTAAGAGTTTGTTTTAGTTTGTTAGAGCTCACTGATTGTGTTGACCCGGTTTCCTCAGGCTTCAGGCCTTTGACTGAGAATGCTCTGTCACCTCTAGTTTTCAGCTGTACCTTGGAAAAAGAACAAAGACCTCTGCCTGAGGATCTAGCAGTTTGAATGTGACTAAGAGGTCAGATATATACTGTAACACGGAGAGAGGCCATGAAGAGCCTGAAAAGTCAACAGTAAGATCCTAAAATAAATTCTATAATACACTGTGAGCCAGTGCAAGGAGGCTAAAACAGGTGTGATGTGGATCTTGTTAAAAGCCTGGTGACTGAGTTCAGCTCAGTGCGGAGCAGGTGAAGAGGCTGTCACAGTAGTTAAGGTGTGTATGTAACGGTATCTGTGTCTTTGAAGATAAAATGTATAAGATGATAAAAGCAAGATTTCAGTGCTCTTCTTTCCATCATTAGCAGTTCTATCTTGTTTAGGGCAAGTCCCTCCTTCCCCAATCAAAGAGGGCAGAGCAGCCAGAGCAACTGGCGCCTGAAGCAGGATCCTGGTCAGCCTAGCTATAGCTTGTATGCTAACATTAGCTGATTGGCCTTTTCCAGCTAAAGCACAGCCAGTTTGCGGGTGCACATTATGTTCTTCCTGACAGTTCAACTTCAGCTTTGCCCTTGGTGATGGGTTCATTGAAGCTGCTGGTGACACACTGAACTACCCAGAAGAGTGAGAGTGAGAGTGATGACACAGCTGTTGTATTTATGGAGAGTGTCCAGTGGGCAGGTGAAAACATGAATGGATGCATAAAGACACAGAGAAGATGCTAAGTTTTGGACAATTTACTGGAAATAACTTTGAATGCAAAGTTATTTCCAGTAAATTGTCCAAAACTTTTTCATCCAACCTTCATGTTCATGCTGGCCTCAAGGACATTTCTGTTAAAAGCGCAGTCCACAACAGTTGCATAATGTTTTATGTTGCTCTGGAGGGAACTGTCCGATATATGAAAAAATAACTCTTAATAAAAACCTGAGCTCATCCTCTGCTGCTTCAATCTTTTTAAATCATTCTCATATGAGTCCAACATAGTTGTGATAGAATTAACTGGTTTAAATCAAACATGTTGTGAAGTAGTTTTGTAATATCTCAGCTTTAATAGTAATAATTATTGCATCATGATCATTGGCATTGCCAGTGAATGAAAGAATCTGAAGTAAAAGAAAACATGTCACTGCTGTGTCAGCAGAT